ATGAACGAGAGGGAGGGAAGTGGAACAGTGAGGTTACAGGGGGCTGAGGTCAAGAAGGTGCAGGAGTTTAAGTATTTGGGGTCAACAGTCCAGTGTGATGGGGAGTGTGGGAAAGAGGTGAAGAGGCGAGTGCAGGCGGGTTGGAGTGGGTGGAGAAAGGTGTCAGGAGTGTTGTGTGACAGAAGAGTGTCAGCAAGAATCAAAGGAAAGGTGTACAAGACAGTAGTGAGACCAGCTATGCTGTATGGGTTAGAGACTGTAGCAGTGAGGAAAAGACAAGAGGCAGAGATGGAGGTAGCAGAGATGAGGATGTTGAGGTTCTCTTTAGGAGTGACCAGGATGGACAGGATTAGGAATGAGCACATCAGAGGGACAGCTCAGGTCGGCTGTTTTGGGGACAAGGTCAGAGAGTCCAGATTGAGATGGTTTGGACATGTGCAGAGGAGGGATAGCAGTTATATTGGTAGAAGGATGTTGGAGATGGAGCTGCCAGGCAAGAGGTCAAGAGGAAGGCCAAAGAGGAGATATATGGATGTGCTAAAAGAGGACATGAAGTTAACTGGGGTGAGAGTAGAGGATGCTGAGGATAGAGTTAGGTGGAAACAGATGATTCGCTGTGGTGACCCCTAATAGGAACAGCCGACAGAAGAAGAATATGTCAGTAGAGACCTTTTGGGATAGCAACTGTAAGAAAGCATATATATTTGTTATTAGGTATTTTACAGATATAGGTATCATGGGTAGGATTTAGTTGTCTATGCAGTTATAAGCACCTCGGGCCTTTTTATTTTTTTACTTTATTTTTTCCTTTCCTTCGGTTCCATAGTTGGTTCACAATCCAGTCCAGAAGGTGGCGGTAATGCACCTTAAGCTGGTTTGCAAATCGCCAATAAACGCCACAAGAAGAAGAAAAGCTTCTGCGCAGGCGCTGATCTTACACGTCATCGACCGAGGCTTTGGGGTTTTTTTCTGTCAGGAAACCCGGATGTGAGTGATGCTGCTCAGCTAACCTGCCAGAAAACGGAGAGGGGTTTTTTTGGTAATCACGGTGGAAGTCAACCACACAGCAATCCGCAGAGAATACGGAACGTGTAACTTTCCTCTGAAAGAATCGAAAACAAACAAATAAACCACGGTACGTGTCAACACACCAGCGATGTTTGTGCTGTCATGTCGCTGGCCAGTGTTGGCTAGCTGTGTTAGCTAGCTGTGTTAGCTGACGTCGGTGGTTTACTATGGCCGCTTATGTCTCGATATTACATTAATACGTTAATTAAAGGTTGTCTGTTCAAATGCTGAACATCTGTCTATGTCAGAAGATAAATGTAAAGCCTGCTACGTGTCCAGCTGTTTGTCAGTCTTATTTCTATGGTGACGTTTAACAACACAGACCCAGTCATGACCTGTCAGATGATTATTACAGGGCTGTGACTTCAGATTATTTTAGTGGTGATTAACCTGTCAGTTAGTTCAATTAATTAGTAGATTGGGCAATAAAATCTCAGAAAATTGTGATAAATGCCGACGGTAAGTCCACGGTGACATGATTAAATGTGTAAAACCCAAACATATTGAGTCTACTATCATAGAATACTAAAACACAGACGGAATTTATTTGGTATAAATGTTAGATCAGTGTGTCTCTGTTGAGTAGAGCTCAGAGACAGATGAGACAATGTCAGTTGACCAGAAGGGCTGTGATGTGGAGACAAGTGGTCGTGGGGCAGAGCTGTGGTTCCCCTGCTGGGCCACCAGGGGGCTCTGTCCTAAACCAGTAGTCAGGTACCTGTAAACAGTGAAACTGTTGGCTGGAATCGTTCCTCTTGTTCATACTGGCCTTTAGAGATCAGCTCTTCCTGTACCAACAAATCCACTGCAAATCCACCGTCCTGTTTTAGTCCAAATAAATAGATTTAGGTAAAAGTTTATCTGGAGCAGATAGCAGGCTGTGGCAGTCTGTGTTGGACCAATCATATGCTCTTTCACTGCAGTGGCTGCAGAATGTGTAGGGTTTGAATTCAAATAAAGTGTGTGTGTATATTTATAGTACATGTGTATAGTATGTATATCAGTAAAGATGGGGGACAGTAGGGACCAAAGTTAAACTAATCAGTCAGTCACAATCACAGAAGAACGTGATGTCCTACTATTAGGGGAAGAAAAAGGGAATCTTGCATTAAACACTGAGTGTTGAGGCCTCACGCTGCCTCCTCATGATGACAGACTCCCATCTTACTTTGGGAGCGTGTTGGTAAAGGGTTTTTCTTACTGACAGTATGAACAGGAGCAGTGATCACAGAAGGCACCGGCTGTTCACAGCGGGTGGGTACTGTTTTAAAACAGTCACCTGTCAGTGAAATGCACAGAAATAGGAAAACTGACACTTGTGTCCTGCAGGTCTGGCTGTTGAGAGCAGTGCAGCAGGATGAGTGGGGCTGCTCTGGGAATCGAGATCGTGGTGGTGTTCTTCCTGGCGCTCTTCCTGCTGCACCGATATGGAGACTTCAAGAAGCAGCAGCGCATGGTGTTGTTCGGCACGCTGCTGGCCTGGTACCTGTGCTTCCTCATCGTCTTTATCTTGCCGCTGGATGTCAGCACGGTCAGTGCTCAGACAGAATCCGTCCCTCACATTCAGACGTCCACACAGAAACCTGAACGTGTGTGTGTGTCATTGCTCTCTTCCCACAGACCATCTACAAACAGTGCAAGATAGACCATAAGGAGTCGACCTCTGTTCCCACCGGCAGCCCGTTACCGTTCAACCACACCACAGCAAACACATCTGTCACTCCCACCAAGAGGTCAGTGTGTAACAGCATCTTTGTCTGCAGCTCCCATGTTACCCTGGTTTCTAAATGTTAACGACAGTGAGAGAATGGCTCAGGTGACAGCGATCAGACTGCACGTTTACTGTTGCATACAGAGATCAGTTCATTAACGGACCTTTGGTGCCGTTTATTCAGACTATACGGTGTTTTCTTTAGTTCGCTTGCTTACAACAGCAGTGGTGATAGAACCACTGTGACCTGCAGGTCTGTCACACACAGGGACTGGGAGGGCAGATTTGTGGGTAATAAGAATCTGAAGTTGTTCTAACCAGCAGTCGTTGCCTGCACAGCTCGGTTCAACCAAAGGGCCCATCCTGAGTGAATAACTCGGTGTCCCGCTTCGTCACGTGTTCCTGAAGGTAATGATACTAGAGAGGTCCAGTTGCCCAGTTCATCATGGTGAGGTTAGCTCACAGGTACTGCACTCCGACTGGCAGTCGTGGTTTCCCCAGGAAGTGCTGAGCGGGCGTGGTGAGTGACACCAGCCAGCTGTTATCAGTCATTATTCAGTCTCTGGTTTTTACACACGCCTCCAGCTGGCTGAGTCTGGTCTCAACGTAGAAGGCATGCTTGGTTTCTGAGTGCCTCTTCAGCTTGTTTGGCTCCACACTAGTATTAGCTGACTTCTCCTGACAGATGAGGCGCTCAAGCTGAGAGCTGTTGGCGTCCGTGGTCAAGCAGAAGCCATGAGACGGGCAGCTGTCCTGACTCTGACCGCTCCTTTTCTCTCTTCTTGAGGTGCTTCTTTTAGGTGCTAGGATTTTCCTCTGACTTGGGAAATGAGTGCATACAAAATACTGATACAGTAAATAAAACATCCAGAACTTTTTGTATCGTATATGGTTGTCACAAAATCCCACAGCCCTCCACCATCTGGGAACCACTGGTCTAATGACTGTGAAGCTGGTCACAGAATTTATTAGTGGACTCGGTGTGAGACGAGGGTCAGATGTTTTTGTTGGTCTGTGAAGATGGAGGTCAGCTGCAGATAACATGTCTGTGTGACTGACAGACACATCAGTTGCATGTTCACTGTCTGGACCAGTCCTGAACCAGGCCTGGACTGGGCCTGGTTCAGCCTGGTCTCTGCTCACACCAGTTCCCCTTCCTCGTCTCTCACAGGACACCAAAGCCGTGCTACAAGCCGTGGAGCTACATTCCTGATGGCATCATGCCCGTGTTCTGGAGGGTGGTGTACTGGACGTCCCAGTGTCTCACCTGGTCAGGAGGGCTCTGACACACACACACACACACACACACACACACAC